GTACGCCACGAAAAATTACATGAGGCAGACTTACAAGTTTACAGCCTGAAATGCTTTTTCGGCGGCTTATGTACATAGGCAGACGGCGTATCATTATTGTCCGTAACCTTTCTGGCATAGTTAACGAGAAGGATCCTGTTGAGCTTTTCAGAAATCAAACTAGCCGACCGCTTGGCGTGACCGTTGTCAACACCTTCTGGGCAGCTCAGAATGGGCTAGTTGCGAAGATACGGTTCAATCAGTACTTGCAGGGATCGGAGAAGATTTGCTCAACTCTGGCTTTGGGTAATAGAGTCCATTACTGCCTTGACCTTGCACAAGCATAAACAAGAGGTCATTTTTCTTGCTTGTTGTTAGAAGCATTACACAAGAATCTCATCCAAAGTCACTGATAAGCCTCACAATATACCCACCAACGTACCAAAGTCCAGAGTAGGTCAGAGCGTGAAGGAGCACCGGGATGTTCTCTTAGGCCTCCGAGTTCTTCAATTAGTGCTGGTGGTAGAGCTGGAGCAAGGTCTTCGGTGTGAGCCTCGGGTATCTTGACTTCCCCTGCAGCAGGCAGAGCCTTTTCTTTCACAATGTGATCTAGAGCCGCCGTCACAGCCCTTGCATCGAGCATGTTATTGCCACCACACATGAATCTTATTCTCCGAAAAAGTGCTTCGATGGGGTCGCTGTTAAGCTTTCTTGTGAGGACGAAGTTGGCGCCTTTTGCTAGAAGGAACTTTGTAGTTGACTTTGTGCTAAAAAGCAAGGCTTGGAAGGTCTCATCTGTGAAAGCATTCATTCCTGAAGCCACGGATGTTTCCTGGATGCTCTTCACGTAGCATGGAAACTAGTTTTCTAGCCACACCAGTCGAGGGTCGTCCTTCTGTGCACTTCCTGCATAGGTCGTGTCATGAATGTCAAACCATTCCTTCATTGTCTTCATGAAATGAATGGTAAGGCTTGCGTCTTTGAAAACATAAAGAGCAGGATCACCGCACGAGTTTCCTTGAAGGTGTTCTAAGGCTGCAGTTACCTGTAGGGAGAATATTTGCACGGCACGAAGCACATTCATCTTCTCTAGGTTTGAGGGGTATACACCTTTCCAAAAATCACTCGACCCAAGGAGGCCACAAACCGTTTTCGAGCCCAGTCACAGAGTTTGAGGCTAGACTCTCACCGGCGTCCCTCCTAACCCTAACAGAGTGGACTGTGATTTCAATAGGCGCAGTTTCAAACTCTGCTGGCGGCTAAATTCTCGCATTTTCCCGCTATATTTTGTGTTTCATGGTACATGTATGTTCCCGAGGACATTGAGAAAGCATTGTAAACTATTTTTGTTGGGTATGCGCACGACAGAATGAATGCGACTGGAATGTATAGTAGTTATTTGTGTTTTTTTTTTTTTCCCTTAAGAGAAGTTTTGACGGCGCCGCATGATTCGCCGCATGTGAAACGACAAAGCGCTTTGCTGTCAAAAATAAATTGCAACAGAAGAGGGCCGAAAGTCGTGCATTTTCCACGCTCACAAATAACGTGTTTACCGATGGACAGGACACGGACATACAATTGAGGAAGTGTTAACATTCAAACAATATATCGTACGTACCACACGATGCAGCGTTATCCGAAAAGAATTTATTTGAGAAAGATCTCAAATAACAGTCACAGTCGACGACAGTAACATCTTGACGATCAAACGGAATCCGGGATGACTTCGTTTTGGGGCACGTTTTGGGGAGAGCTTTCTTTTTTCACAACCACACCAAGGCAAAGAAACAAACAGGACTGACCCATTTCTCACCCCAACCCGGACAACTATTTTCGGAGATGACTGAGGATTCTACGCGGATTATCTCTGGGAGGGGGGAGAAAAATGTTAGCAAAATCGCGTCGAGGGTTGTTTGACGTCCTTCACCTCCTTCGTTTCCTGTGAATAGAAAGCAGAAACGCTTGAATGGCAGGCACTTGCCAGCCTTATTTCTCACAATGGAAGATAACACAGAAAGGGTACGCAGCAGGCATAAAAAAAATTAAGTGAAAACTTTCAAGAGGGGTGAGAAAACGTCGAATGCAAAAACCGCAAAAACGTAGGTTCTTCACAGTCCAAGAGTGTGGCAGAAAATTTCTAGCTGATAGAGGGCGCAAGAGTCGCACCAGCCGCCCTCTAACTCAAAAACGTTTCTTTTGAGCTAGAGGGCGTACTGCTATCCGGTTTGTCCCCGAGGCCAAACACTGCATCACCTTTCCTGTCGTAAATGCACTTAGGCTTTATGGCAGCTTCGTCAATGATTAACGGCGCCATGTGCTGCCTGCTGCTGAGGTTGAGGCTTCGTGAATCAGCCTTTCTTTTATGGCGGCGCTCATTCCCGATGATGTCGGACTTGGCCTATGTATCTCTGAAGAGTGCACTTTGCTGGAAGTGTCAGAAGTTTCGATGCTCGAGCATGATCATAGCCTTTTGGCGAAAGAAATCTCCTTATGACACATTCTCTGATGATCTCTTCGGGGTAGCATAGCCATTTCTTCCCGTAGCTTTTTATCTGGTGAAGAAGAAACAGCACCTTTTTTTCTCCCTTCTCCGAATCTGCAGCAATCTTCTTGACAGAAGTGTAGCGAGCTGTTGCAGAAGCAGCAGAAGCTTCCCGCTCTTGGAGCGGTAGTATGCGACCTGAGAGCGAAGTCTTCCGATCATGGAAAGATAACGGCTTGCTCGCTGAGCGTCATTGTTTGTCGTTTGTGTGCAAACACTAGGTTTCTAGTCGGGAACGCCCTCCGACACATCGCAAACGTCGTGCGAGTATTCAGCTGTTTCGGCTTTCCGCTTCGTTGGTTTCCGAGGGGGTGGGGAATCGCGAGGTACAGGGTCCTTGCGAGGCTTCTTCGCCCTTGGCGCCAGGTCGGATGGATAGTCTTCAAAGAGTCTTCAAAGACGGTCGGCACGGCACCCGGAAGGAGCTTTTTGATGTGGCACTCAGCAGCATAGTCACTATGACGGAAATGTCTGCTACAAACAGCAGTTGAGGCCGACTTGTCGTTGATAGTCAGACGCCTTCACGTGGCAAGTAGTGGCATTACACGACTAGAAAAAATCGCATTGCTTCCTCAGCAAGAGCGAGGGCCATAAGAAGAGCACGCGCCTCTCCGCTCTAGACTGGCCGTGATTAAGTAAATCTGATGACTGTGCCATATGATGGGTGCATATTCCAACTGCGACCTGACAAGGGTAGTATAGGCAAGGAGTTTAGTTTCTTTGTTAGCTTGAAATAAAGGGCGTTTAAGAAAACAAAGAGCTCTGAAAGCTTTACGGGATACATGTTCAATATGAAGGTAAGTTAGCATGATAAGTTAGCTGTAGGTGGACGCGGAGGTATTTAATTGACGCAGGGGTGGAACGGCTGCGCCATTTGCGCCAGGCACATTTGTCTGCGCCATGTTGCGGAAACTGCGCCACAGCCAATGTCTCGCGCTATTTTGCGCCAAATCGCAAAACGTGCGCCAAAAAAATTGTATTTTGTCTTAGTTTCAGTTTTTCTCTACTCGATTGGCAACAGTGAGCGCGTTTAGCTTTGTCGGCCTTGCAATCCTTTGTTCTGTTTATTCTTGTGTATCCCAAATCGGAAGCGCACGAAAAAACTCGGGGGGGTCAGATTCCAGGCGCTACACAACCTGCGACTGGATTGTTCTTCAACCGTAGGCGGTTAAGCAAGTCGGCCAAGGTGAGGTCGAGTCGTTAAGCATCAGATTGCCTGAGGCTCTGGGGCCCGGTATCCAGATGCAGCCAGTCGAAAACAAATAAGCAAAAGATTCCTTTTAGTATTTCATCGTTAGAAGTTGGAACTGCATTCTCGCAAGATAAATCGTGATTTGATAGAACTGAAACGTGTAATAAATCTGTGCATAGAAGTTTCATTCACATGTATTCTCTAGTTGTTAACATACATCTGAGGAGGCAGCCAGCATTTGGATGCACAGGCTTCTGCCTTTTGGCTGCCTTAGGCTCTCGGCTGTATGGAAGTAAAGCCAATGCACTCGTTTGAACCTTTGTCCAATCCGAAACCTTGCCGGCCAACAGCTCTCACGCAAGCGGTAGATCTGCTCGGCGTTTGTTAACCTTGCTCCTGCTTATCGCTTCCAGTACGAAAACTCCGTTAATCATAGTTTGCTGCTTCGATATTGAGTTGCACAATAAGATAGACTTGAAATTTGTTGCCCTATTCTACCGCGCGTCCATTGCTTACGCACGTCACGTGGTTCGCACATATAATTAATATGTCGAGCATGTGTGGGTTGTGCGATAAGCAGTGCTAGTTTGTATTTTGAGCAGCTGAAAGCTATTCAGAAAATATCAAGAACACTATCTTCAGAACCATATGGTACTTGCTTTTTTATTCTGATTAAGGCTCACAAAGTTTCAAGCTTTCGCATCTGTTACACTGTTATCCCATCTACCTAGGTCCCGACCAGTCATGTTCATCTGTGCTGCTAAGCACAATCGAAATTGCTCCCGTGCTTGTCTAAGACACAAGCTGAAGTGCCATGAAAACTGATCTGAACTGCTCCTAGCCTGCTCCAGAATGTAGTTTTAGCTGCTCCCAAGTGCATTTCATCAGTTCCTCCTTTGTTGACGTAACGTTTTCAATGCGGTCCTTTCCAATTATGTATGCGCGATGAGTGATTTGTAATTTCGTTGTAAAAGTGACAGTGTTGCGAGTGCAAGATGCTTGGAATTTTTGAGTGTGGAGGAGAAACGCTATTCTAAAACTCTTGTGTAGCGTGCACTAATGCAAGCACTAAATTTAACGTAGCGTCCGCTAAACTTCAGTGCGTTATTCTAAAACTCCCCAATATTCCTGGCTATGCCACTGCTGTTCATATATGGAGCTCGCTAGTGGTTAATATCATAGTATAAGTAGGATGCACATTTATTAGCTATATGCCAACATACAGCTATTCTTTGTTTTCTGCCTTGTTTCTACGCTGAACCTTCTGTTTCTCCTCTTTTTTTTAAGCATTACTGACTGAGGCGACACGAGCTCTTCAACAGTGTCGTCTGCAACGTGCCCTTCCTGGACCACCTCTCCTTGAAACACCTCCTGAATCACCGTCACCAAAATTAGCATCACCGACATCAGCGTCACCGCCCAGGCCGGGGGACCTCTGCAAAACTCAGCACCAGGCAAAGCCAGTGCTGAGCAATGGAAAGACTACCCTCGTGCAATGCAGCGACGTGGTTGGCATCACACTTGCTCCACGTGCTGGAGCGTTTCCTGCACGTCCGGGCTATGGCAGAGACGGTCACCCCATTGCAATTCTTGCCAACCACTTTGAGCTTCAGCTTCCTACTGGGCTCTTCTACCACTACGACGTGGATATCGGCAGCCTCCGCCACTCGGGGGCAGTTCAGTCAGTCATCTCAAAGGACTGCAAGAGACGCGTGTTCCAGCTGCTTGTCCGCCAGCACGAGCATCACCTGAATGGCAACCTGCCGGTCTTTGACGGCCAGAAGAACATGTACACCAGGAGTTCTCTCAACTTCCAGAAGAAGGTCTTCAACGTGACCATGGAGGAGGAAGGCCGGAATCCGGATACCTTCGTTGTTTCCATTCAGTATGCTGCCACCTTAGACATGAGCCTGCTCCAGGCTGTCTATGACAAAAAGTTGAAGGAAGTCCCTCAGGCAGTTGTTCAGGCATTTGACATTGTCATGCGGTACGGGCCATCAACTGTGCACGCCATGGTCGGGAGGTCAGTCTTCGCTCCGCCGAGGAACTATAGCAGCATTGGAGGTGGCCTGGAACTTTGGCACGGCTATCAGACGAGCGTGCGGCCCGCTCAGTGGAAGCCCCTTCTCAATGTCAACACGGTGGCAACTGCCTTTTTTGAAGGTGGCCCCCTGCTCGAGCTTGTTTCCAAGGTGCTCGGTGACCGTAGAGGAAACCTTGACCTGAACCGGTCGCGAAAGCTGGATGATACCCAGTTTGTCAAACTGAACAAGAAGCTCAAGACGCTGAAGGTAAAAGTGACTCATCTACCCTACCCCCGCAAGTATGTCATAGAGAGGGTGACAAGGGCAAGTGCGAATGAAATAAAGTTTGGAGATCCACCCATCACTGTGGCAGCTTACTTTGCCTCCAGGTATCGCCCACTGAGTTTTCCCCACCTGCCGTGCATCGAAGTGGGCACGAGGAAGAACTACATTCCCTTGGAGGTGTGCGTAGTTCTCGATGGCCAGCACTGCCGGCAGAAGCTGGATGAGAACCAGACAGCAACAGTTGTGAAGAAGGCTGCAGTCCCACCAGCAGAGCGTTTTCAGAACATCCAGGGAGCTGTTCAAGACTGCATTAAGAACAACAAGGAGTACCTGGACCACTTTGGCATCCGCATCAGCACCAACCCAGTGAAGGTACAAGCCAGAGTGCTGCCAGCTCCCGACGTACTCTACAAAGATAACGTTCCAGTGAGCCCCAGGAATGGTGCCTGGGAGATAAAAGACACGGAGTTCTACCGACCTGTCAACATGACCAAATGGTCTGTGCTGAGCTTGTGCAACACCCGCTTCTGTCCTCTACCGGCAATCCAGAAGTTTGTTTCCATGGTGATCTCCCAGGGTAAGCAGCTTGGCATGTCTGTGGAGCCACCCCAGGCTATCAAGGAATGTGGTCAGACTAATCGCCTGCTGAATGTTCTTAGGAAGGAGAAGGAGACTATTCCAGGACTACAAATCATCTTTGTGGTGGTGGTCAACAAGTCTCCCTTCTACAATGAACTCAAGAGCGCAGGGGAGACTGAGGTTGGGGTGATGACTCAGTGTGTCACGGACAAGAGCATCATGAACAAGTGCAATCCGATGCTGGTCAACAACATCTTGCAGAAAGTAAATGCCAAGCTTGGCGGTGTGAATAACACTATACCAAAGTCTGTCAAGTCCGTCATCTTTAGCAAGCCGGTCATTGTGATGGGTGCCGACGTCACTCACCCTGGTGCCAAGGAGTTCAACAGGCCCTCAATCGCAGCTGTTGTGGCAAGCACCGATCGGTTTGCCTTCCGCTACATCACTGCCTTCCGGATCCAGAAGCAGAACATGGAGGTCAAGGCCCGTGTGGAGATCATTGAGGATATGAAGAGCATTGCCAAAGAGCTGCTGCTGGGCTTCTACATTGCAAATAACCAGGTGCGCCCAGACAAGATCCTGTTCTACCGTGATGGTGTGAGTGAGGGCCAGTTTCGCCAGGTCCTAGACCACGAGCTAGCTGCAATTCGCGCCGCCTGCATGGAGCTCGAAGCTGGGTACGAGCCAGGCATCACGTTTCTGACCGTGCAGAAGCGGCACCACACACGATTCATGCCAGAGAACCGTCGGGACGGTTGCGGGAAGAGCGGCAACATCCCACCGGGGACTACGATCGACACCACCGTCACTCACCCGGTGGACTTCGACTTCTTCCTCTGCTCCCACTTCGGAATCCAGGGTACCAGCAGGCCAGCACACTACTATGTGCTCTGGGATGACAATGAGTTCACTGCAGATGCCCTGCAGAAGCTGACCTATGGACTGTGCCACACGTATGCCCGCTGTGCACGCTCGGTGTCCATCCCAGTGCCTGTGTACTATGCTCACCACGCCACCCAGAGGGCCAAGTGCTATGTGGATGCCCGCTCGGACATCTACGACTCTGCTGGCAGCAGCTCCGGTGGCTCCCTACCATCAATGGACTTCCTCGATGCTGCCATCTCTGTGCAATCTCTCATGAAGGAGGCCATGTTCTTTGTCTGAAGCATTATGTTGCTTCTCGTGACTGTTTTAATGGCACAGAGTTTGTTTTGATCTCAAGAAACCAGAGCGTGAAAAGCAACACGATTGCAATAGTTTTTTTTTATTGTGTGTTTTTGTTACTACATAATGTATATTTACAATACTGCAGTGCCTGCCCAAGTTTAATGCTCACTCTGAGCATTTGGCTCAAGTAATTGAAGTTAGCCAAGCTTCGTTAACCAAACGAAGCTTGGTTAACTGGCTACTGTGATCTTGGTAAGCAAATGTTCCTACTCCAGTACCTTTGGCTCTTATGTTTTTGTTGCCTTTTTTTATTTTTTGTGCCCAGCCATTGCATTCTCATTTAACCTGGTGCCATTGAACAAGGTTCGTTCAATCCATTACAAGTGCAAGGTTATTTTTGTGTTGTTGTGCCTCGATGATTTCAATTCTAATGCAGTTGTCACTCGATAATAAATGCAATCCAGAATGTTACTTCGTGTTTGATTCTTTTTTGCTGTGGCACCTCTGGGGCCATTGCAATGGAAAAGTGGGATGTTGAAAGCTACAAGAGCTGATAAAACCAGTACCCAAATGGCAGTGTGCGAAGTACCTGTAGTCTTTGACAGGCTAAGAGTTGGAAGGGAAACTCGTCCCATCCCTTACTGGAGAGGGGCCGCTGTTTCCCCTGGATTCTTAACCTGTCACCGATTTAAGGTACAAGCTACTGCAAAACTACTAGCCTCGAGAAGTTTGCGTGACGCCCCCTTATGGCGACCGGGGTGATGTCACGGTGAGGACAGAATTTTTCCCCGACTCGCCCTGTGGAGGCTGTGACGACGTTAGCTGTCGGCGCGCTCGTTTCTACTTGGCGTTCACCTGTTTCTTTATTGAGGCATGGCCTGTAGCTGCAGGCGAAACTTCAACTGACATTTCCGACATGGTTGACGGGCAGGCAATGCATGAATCGCAGCTGGTGTATGAAAATGAAGAAATATGGCCACAATTGCAGGAGCATCACTATAGATTTACATTTCACACAATCAATGCTGCTCTACTATTTCATTGTTTTTTTTGTTTTTTTTTTAATCTTTTTAAACAAAAACGCCGAAGCAGAAAAGCTGCATGCTGCTCGAGCAACATGTTAAATATAGTCTGGTCTATAAAGAGAGAATCGTAAGTGAGACAGCCCGAGTACAGGGGCAAAGTAAAGAAAGGAACATTTATTTATATACATTGCTCTCGCATTTGATTTTTGCTGGATTCGGGGGTATTTCAATGGACTCCGCTGGTGGCGTCTGTGGACTTGTTTAAATCATCCATCAAGTAATGTACAGCAAATGTAAGCGACGGTGTTTAGCCCGTTATTGGTCCCTTATACTCTAAAATTTAGATTTTATTTAAATCAAACTGTCCTGAAGCTAAAATACCAGAAGCTTCTCTCACGCAAACTGTCGTCCTTCACAGGTTCAATATTTTCTGCTACTAGCGCAGCATCTTCCACTGGCCAGCCGTTCGAATGCTTGTTGTTCCTCCTGTTTTCCTCTGTTGTCAGGAAGTCCAGCTGTAGTGAGTTTGAAGGGTGAGGAAGCTTTCAGGGACCTGCAGCAGTGTTTCTTTTAATCGGAAAGGACAATTCAAACTAAGCGGTGTATTTACCGAATACAGAAGGCTGGAATAGAGAAATAATGTCAGGAAAAAGTAGAAGCATTCCAAATTACGGTAGTATTGTGTTGTATTTAAATTTTCCGCAGTTTCTATATACACTACATAGATAGCGCCACTGTCCACCATTGCGCCCGTGTTGTCAGGGTGGCGTCCCCGTGGCGCTCGACCCCCATGTTGTTTACCGTTGGATAAACGCTACAGCCACCATCCGTGTCGGACGTCTGCGTGTCGGACCTGAGACTGCGGTGGAAGAAATCGGAAGAACTTTCAGTAGAAGGAACAGGCGCAGAGAACGTCTCAAAAGATGTCCCCGGAAAAAAATGTTCCTGGAAAAAAATGCCGCAGGAGTAGGAAGAAATGTCCCCAAAAGGATTCTCGGGGTTTCCCTGATCCTCATGGCCTTCGGGCGGTCCGCTCATATGTGCTTGGGAAAAAAGGCCCCCTTTGGCAAGTAGAAAAAAACGGCCCTAACAAGATGAGGAAATAGACGATGCCCCGAGATGCACATCGCGACCCTGTTAGCGCGAACACGACATCGGCGCATTTTCATATTTTACTTAGGAGTATTATTAGTGGGAACGAAATTTCACCATCTGCATTATATCCCCAAATGAGCACTTTCAGTACCTATGATAACTTTGATGACAACCGTTTCGTTTCTATAAGCAAAAAAAAAAAAAAAAAAAAAAACGATCGCTTCCCGTTCTGTTTCTTCGACTTTTATGTTTTTCTACCCCAGTCTCAGGTATATTCAACATGGTTAACATCCACCAGCTCGCCTGCACCCTTACTATTGTATCACGATCGCCTGTTTGTGCTAACAGTCTCGCGCGTTTTACCTATTTGGAAATGGTACACAAGTACCTCTCAAATTTCCCCAAACACAATAATTTGGTTTTGGCTAGAAATCTTATAATTGTTTATTTCACACACAAAAAAAAAAAAAAAATATTTTTGACAAACAATAATTTGGTTTCCAAAATACCCTACAATGAATTACTTCGGTTGCTTTGTGTGACTTCCAGTCTCCCTTTCTACCTCTAGGTGGGTCAGGTCATTTGTGACCGGATAATGACAAGACCGCCCGAAGGCCATAAGAATCTGGGAAAACCCAGCGATAGTGAACCCTTTGGGCACATCTTTTCCTACTTTCAACCTGGGGCCTTTTTTTTTTTTTTTTTCGGGGACTTTTCTTCCGGAACTTGTGCACACCGCCACAGCTCGAGTTCGCGTGTCACTGCGTCTCTATTTTCGTTGTCTCGCAGTAATGCGTCGTCGTTTCCATAGGAAAGATTCGTTATATAGACCTGGATCCTTAGGAACCGTACAGAGAAGCACAATCGCTACATCGGCGAGCACTCTCTGGAGCTACCGCGTCGCTGTACCTACCTGTCAAGAAGGGGCACGGGTTTGCTGCCGTGCAGAGTTCTTTTTTGGGCGCTCGCTCAGATCGGGGTGATGCGGTTAGAAAGCAATGGGTAGTCTTTACCTCCGTGGCTCTGTATCCAAGGCCGCTACCGCGAACCGAGGCCAGCCGGATGGATGGATGTTACCTTTAGAACAAGCTATAAAATCGCTTTTTTTTTTTTTTTTGGGGGGGGGGGGGGGGGGGTTATCGAAATTCAGGGCCCCCTCTACGTCTGTTCTCCCCACAGGGAGGGCAGGTGTAAGCCGCTTGCACCTCAAAACGTGTTCCATAGTTTCGCTCTCCATATCACATATGCAACAAACTGTAGCTATATCTTCGAATTGTGCCCTATAAGTATTCGGTTTTAGTACCCCAGTTCTGGCCTCAAAACAGTAAAGAGCTACCCCGAGAGTTATCTAAGTTTCTTTCATTATTTCCTTATTTCGAAGCGCACATGAAGGCACCCTAATTTCTCCTGGAGGGGCGACTCGAGCAAGGCACCGGGCTAAACTCCGCGAGAACGACGAGGAGCCGCGCTCTTTCTCGAAATGTGCATTGTTTATTTACATGATCTACACTACAGTTGGTTCGATATCACAGAAGATATCTGGCAGCCGTCCGCTGCCCGTTTTGTAAGAGTTCTTTTTCCACACGCTCTTTGACCAATGGCGGGGGGGACGTCAGAGTCAACGTTAGCGGCTGGCACGGGACGCAGCCCGGACCACCAATCCACTAATCCGGGGCTGCGGCCGAGGTACTCTCGGTGGAAAGGTCCGGTAGGGCCTGGAGTCGTTATCGTTGCAGGCAATGGCCGGACTTCGGACTGAACCGGATCCAGCTTCGACCACCAATCCACTAATCCGCAGGTGAGGCTGGAGGAAATGTGGACGGGCTTTCCGCTGGACGACGAGAGTTGAACTTCGGAAGGGACACACCCGCTTCTAAAGTGGAGGGCTATCCCGAACTGGGACCGCTCCCTCTCCGGCGAAACTTGCTTGTGTCCATCCATTGTACTTGACCTTTCTCCCGATTAGGTGACGCCGCCGCTCCGGATCCTCTCTCGAAACTTGGCTGGGTGCGGCATCCGTCGACAATATCGGGCAGGCCGGTGGACCTCGTGCGTCGACTGACCCCGCCACGGGCCATACGTAACACGGCCTGTAAAACTTTGTTTCTGGGCCTTCGATTCCGTTTCTCCCAATTTGTATTCCTTAGCTGCCCACCTCATCTGCTTCATATCCGTTAGCCTTTGGTCAAACTTGTTGCTTCTCTGTTCTTAAAGGTTGCCCAACCCAAACTTAAAGGATGCCCAACCCAACTTAAAGGATGCCCACCCTGTACCCCTTCATTTGGTGTGTTATTACAAATACATTGTTCTTTGCACTTTTTGTCTCCATTTGTTTTCCTTTCTCTTTCTCTTTCTTGTTATGGAGTATCCGGCGTCTTTCCTAAACGACAGCCAATCTCTCTAAATTACTCCTATGGCGTTGCACTTATTCAGTTTTTCACACCTCCAGTAGTTCATTGTACCTATGTTTATTTTATTTATTTATTTTTTGTCAAGCACGTACGCGTAACCATCTTTGCAGCTAAGGTTTGCTTTTCCCTTTTGGGGACAACTGCGGCCTCGTACGCCATTCCGTTCGTAAATAGGGATGTCGCGAACCACCTTAGGTTCGATTTCGAAAGGTTTCGATATTTGCGAAGCGAACTGAGGTTCGATTTCGAAAAATTTCGATTTTTTCGTTCCGACCGAGGTTCGATTTCGAAAAATTCGCAACTTTTGTCCACAGCGGAATTTCGAATTCGAAAATTTCGAAGCTTTCACGGTTTCTAAAATTTCGAATTCGAATATTTCGAATATTTTTTTACTTCAGGTTCGATAAATTCGAAGATTTCGAAATTCTTTGTAAAAAAAAATTCGAAAACTTCGAACGCTTCGAATTTTTATAGACATGAAGTTCGAACAATTCGAAGATTTCGGATTTCTTTTGGCATAAAGTTCGAAAAGTTCGAAAGTTTCGATCCTCTTTTAGCGCTAAATTAAAAAAAAAAAAACTTTGAAGATTTTGAATTTTTTTTAATCCAAGTTTTCAAAGTTTGAAGTCCGATTTTCAAGTTTTTCTACAGTTTCAGTTTCAAATAACGTTTTCACGACTCACTTGTTTTCACAAAATCAAGTTTAGAAAAGTTAGGGTGTGATATCTAGATTCTGTGAAGTTGGTAAGGCAATTAAATGAGACGACGAGTGTCCCGGACGTGCTAGAATATTTGCCAGTGCAGAATTGTGACCGCCAGCCCCCCGGGGGGGGGTCTTTATCACGCAGTAGTGATTGCACGAACACACTGTTTTACGAGACTCATCCAGTTCGAAACGGCCAGGGGCGAGCAGGAGGTTGAGGCTCAGAGAAACCTTGAA